AGCTATAAGAATTCACCCAAGAGGGCCTGAATAGCCATATGTTATTGCAGACCCCCAGTTTAGCTTCTTTACCTTACGTTTTGAGTTGGCGAAGAGGCCTTTAAGTCTGTTTTCCTGAATGGGGTCAAACAGGAGCTGGGAGATTCCAGTGCACCCACATATAGGAATCATCAAGTCACATATAGGAATCATCAAGTTAGCATTTGTTAAATGTAGCTTTAACGCTGAAAGCACAGCACTGTTATCTGAAGTTGTGGTTGTTCATTCATAACTTCTTTTTTTTTTTTTTTTTGCACGTCTTCTTTGTGGCAGTGTGTTGCAGCAAGTCTGTACTGTTGAGCTCTTCTTCGTGTCTCACCCCTGGCCTTGGAGGAGAATGAAGGGAGGAATGCTGCAGAGGGACAGGAGGAGGGGGGGAAGCAACTGAGACCAAGGGAGGGTTTCACTCTTCAGGAATTCTGCTGGGTTGGAGTATCTTTGCACGATCAGCGACCACCATMGATGTCAGCACAGAGTTTCAGAAACCTCCCCAGCACTCCCCGACTGGAACTACCCCCCCCCCCCCAATAACGGAAAGGAAATGGAGAGTAACACTTAGAGAAACTCATAAATGGATATTTCTGTACAAGAAGAAGACAGGGAAATAGAATTTATTTTGTTAAATAACTGCACAGACTGGGGCAAAGAAATAGGGCACTGCTCCACAACACTCCGGTAACCCCCCGCCCCCCAAAAAATAAATAAATTAAAAAAAAATAAAAGTAAGATGAATACCACATCTGGTGGTGGAGCAAATGTGATGAGTGCCACTTTTATTTTTGTCTTCACCTCCTCCTCAGTGTGTGAGAGGAACCTAAGCGAAGTGATATGGGGACGCTGACCTGATCACCCCTGTGTCGAGTGCCTTTCCAAAACAAATCAACTCTTCAGATTTTGTGCCAACCTAYGTTTCACCAAAAGAACCCTTCAACGTGGCAATCTACATGCTATCGAGAACTTTTCTCCTGGATAATCTTGTAAAGGTGGAGGCTGAAAACAAATAAAACTGCAATAGGCTTTTTTTGTTTGTTTGTTTTTAAAAAGGTGGACTTGTGTAAGTTTTACGTTGGCCCCCACTTTTTTTTGTCTGCTCGGTCTGGCCAAATCTATTTCTTGAAATGCACAGGTACTGGATCCACCTCAGTGTGACAGCAGTAAACAACACTTTACCTTCCAGACCAGTTAAAGGAATTTAGTTCGTTTTGTTTTTGTTGTTGTTTTTTTTTTTTACAGGAAATGTGATGATGTGTTGTTGACAAATCTAACCTGATTGTAAGTTTAATTTTCAGACAAGCCGTTTGACAGTGAGCTGTCTGTTTTAAAGACAAGACTTTTAATACAAATTGCATTTTGTTTAAAAAAAAAAAAGACTGAGCTGTGTTTTCTTTCTCAACATTTCCTTGTTTCTGTGTAATATCTCGGTCACAGCTGTGTTGTGTGTCGCAGCACTTTTTAGTGCAAAAATGCCAGCCTAGTTTGCGTAAACCCTCAGGTTACGACGAATGTTGACAGTAATACTAAATATTACAGCGAGTGTTTAGTGTTCATAATTTAAACTAATCTCACCTAATCTCAAACACTAAATTTACATAAATTCCTTACTGCTGGATATGTAATAGTGTAGTATGGTTACAGTTGAAAAGTATGCCAATTATATAAATATATATTCTTATTTTTACAAATCTTTTATACACTTTTACACTACCTCTTCTGTTTGTGGCTTCAGTAGAAGTGTGACTCATTTTTGTCAACTTCAGAATCCAGTTTTGGGTTTTTATTGCTGCTGCTGAGGTATGCCATTTTGTCTACAAAAACAAAACATTCCCCGTGGCTAACGGTGGAACCACTGTGATGTAAAATCCCAAGCTGAAAGAAAACAGCACAGGCTGTTATGACTAGCTCAAAAAGCGAGATGAGTAACTCGGCTTTGTTCGTCTGCGGCAGAGTTTACATGACATGGGTTCTGGTTTTGAGGTCATTCTGAGAGCTTGCAACACCCATCAACACTATAGGAATTCATGTAAAGATCTTTTTTTAGGTTCACAAAATCTGCTCGCCCTCATCGTTACTGGACGAGATCAAGCTCAGCAGGTTTGAGGGGGAATAAAATGTCTTTTTTTTTTTTTTTAACGTGTAGGAGTAGCAGTGTTTGAGCCCTGAACTTGAGCAGGGATGCAGTGTGTGTGTGTTTGTAGTGTGTGGGTGCAGTGGTGTGATGTGGGAAGAACCTAGCGGGACCACCGCTCTGCTGCTGTTTACCTACAAGGATTACCTTGACACGGCTGGCTGTGTCGGCCGCAGCATTGCTTGAGGGCAGCGGAGTAAACAAACACAAAGACGGGCCTCCAATAGAGTCCAGTGTGGCTAAAGGACAGTTAGGTGCTGGTTCTGTGTGTGAGTCTGAGCACTTGTGGATGCCAGTCACTGCTCTGTATTGGCTCTGATCCGCTTGGGTATCTATGCGTGTCAGCCTGTGTAAGCATCGGTATCGTATGTATTCTTTGGCTTTGCCTGCACCATGTGACTGCAGTGCACGTGGGAGGACTGGGTGTATTACGTTCAACAGGTGCATTCAGATAACATTGTGTGTGTGTTTTATTGTGATGCTCTGGTTATAGTTTTGTGCATGTGCTTGCTTAAAAATAGTGTTAAATTGAATTTTCCTAGCAGATATTTTACCCATCCCTAATGAGTGAATCTTCAGTTTTATTTGCCAACTTTCACTGTCGATGTTTGTGGGGGAGGGGTGGGATTGGCAGCATGTGCAGGTTCAAACACGTATCGCGGTTTTCTTTGAGTCCTTAAAGCTGAATAAATGTGGCCCCGTGACTTAATGCTGGGTCTCTGTGCAGAGGAGCTTTGTTTTTGTGCAACTGCTGGTAGCAGCAGATCCTCCTCACAATCCCTCGCAAGTCGCGTCCACTTTCCAGCTGTGCTATCGTTGTGAAGCCAAGGCTAATGGCACGTTTCCTCCAAGGACTTAATACAGATTGTGTGATCAGGGCAGCTACCCCGCTGAAGTCTGAGTCTGYGCTAAAAAATACATAGACTGGTGGTGGATAAGGGGGAAGTTTTTACAGCTATGCCCCAGTTACTGTAAAAGTACCCCCCCACCCCACCCCCCGCCGCTGCTGCTGCTGCTGCTGCTGCTCAGTTTTAGTGTCTTGCTGTGGTATAAACATCCGATAACAGAAAAATGTGCCCTTTGGAGAGGAAAAGAGCCTTTTGAGTTCCTGTTTCTTTTTATCTGTCTCTTTGTTAGAAGCAAGAAGGTGAAAGTTACTGCTTTTATTTAATTTTTTTTTCAATGCACAACAGTGCACTAAGGTTATCTCTGTTCGTTATTTTTAACTCATTTCAGCCTCATGATTTTTTTAAATGCTGTATTTCTCCTTTACAAACAGGCATGTTGGTTCAAAMTGTTTGAAAGCTTTTTGAACGTTTCAGTCTGTTTTTGTACCAGCCAATGGTAAATCAGCGGAGCTCCCGGTTCACAGATGGCCTGCCTCGTCAGCGGTGGTTGGTCATGTGATGCAGTTGCCATGGTGTGGGGGTGGAGGTGTGGGCTAGGGGTGCACGCTGTGGCCTCGTGACCTACAGGAGTTCAGTTGCTGCTGGAATGGGGACTGAGGAGGGAAGGGTGCACAGACATCAGTGCTGCTTGACCCCAAGACAGGAGGAGAGATTTGTCTAACAATTTCTACCTTGTAAAATACATCAAATTGAAAAAAAAAAAAAAAAGAAGTAGGCACGCTAATTTTAAGTGCACAGTAAAAAAGGCAGACTGTTTCTTCTTTAAATGTTAAAGGAAAGGGTTAAATTTGTTGCTTCGAGATTCTTTTTATTTTGCTCTGACAGGAAGTGTTGCAACAGAGGCAGAGAGAGTGGGTGGTGTGTGTTCACATTTTTTTTTTTTTACTTGGAACTTAATCACTATAGGCTCCTTGGTGAATTACAGGCTTCTCTTCCTATCCAGGCTATTTTTGAGGCGCTCTTGTGTTCAACACAGTGGTTTCGCCTTTTTTTTTTTTTTTCATTTTTGGACAATATCCTTGTTATGTGCTGTTTTTTCTTGTCTAATGCAGTGCGCTTCTTGAATTCCATTCAATTCTATTAATTTAGCTTTATTTTAAGGGTCTCGTGTTTTTGTGATTTCTTTTTTGAGCATCGCCACAAACAGCGATACCCATTTGTGCCTGGTTTGTCTTTGCCTTAAAGGTTGGATGAGCTTTGTTTTGTCCACTCACACATGAACACACACCGCAGTTAACCTAGATTGTGCTCATTTATACAAGGTGCAGTTTGGATTCCTGTCGCATTCCAACACCTGATGTTTGACCAGASATGCAAATAGTGAAGACATCATTCAGTTCCTTTGTTGTCCTGGTCTTTTATTACAGTATGATGGACCAGGCCTGATAGTTCTTGTGTTTTTCCCTGCAAATACAAGTTTAATGTGAGTTCTTCGAAAGTTTGAGCGACGATCGGTTTTTGTGTAAACCAGGGAGTGTCTTTTTCTTTCGAAGTTGACTATGCCAAACTTGGAATGCCCCAGAATTCTTTCCATTCCTGCCATTCCTTCAATCGAAATGTCTGGACATGTCTTCAGCTTGAGCTGAAAGAGAAAAAGAAGACTTGCCCTTCATGTATGAACTTTACTTTTATCTACAATTTTACACGCTATGCCTCGATATCCTGATTATTTGGAGACAAGAATATCATCAAAGTCATGAAGAATTCAAGAGCAAGCATTCGTCGCAGGGATGTAAATTGCCTGCTGCCTTTTCTGTTAGTTTCAAAATAARATCATCTTATGTTGGGGGAAAAAACATGAAGACATCTTGATCAAACGTTTAAAATAATATTACTCAATTTGGGTCTGTTAGCACTTGTGTTATGACCCTTTTGTGTTAGAGCTGACTCTCAGCTATACTGCCACACCAAATTTTAGGCAATTCTGTCAAATTTCCAAAGTTATAGCCATTTTTGTGTTGATTTTTTTATTTTCGTGTTATTGGTTAATCAGAGATATTTTGCTAAAAGATCTTGTATGATCAGTTAGTACTCAGGCAATGTTTCAGGGATAACTCAGCTACTACCACACTATATTTTAGCTTAAAATCTCTAAAACTGACAGATTTGTAACCATGTTTGCAAAGGGTTAATTATTTGCGGCAGTTATTTGAAATCATAAAGTTTCGGAAAATAATACACAGCTGGGATAAAAAAAATAAACAAATAAAAGCTCAATGTTAGTCCAAACAATCTCCCCAGACAACTGCCTCACTGTCACAAGACTGATCCCACTGGGCTCACAGTCAAAACARTTCTTTATATCATCTTTAGATACTCAGAGCACAGTTGTCTTAATTCACACCAGAGCTCAGCCGGAGCAGGAAACTAGGCCAAAGGAGGCTGTCAGACAGGACTAGTTACTCCCAGTTGTTTTATGTAGATTAGTTTTTTGTTTGTTTGTTCGCTGGTGTCTTTGAGGGCAAGCAATGCTTAAGGACCTGATTTGTAACTGAAATCAGTTACTATCAGTGTTTTAATAAAAATGAGGGTAGTGTGTGTGTGTGTGTGTGTGTGTGTGAGGCACTGATCTATGTATCATTTTAATTCGTATCTAGAGTTGCCTGCAGAAATGAACAATTGTACTGAGTATTATTTCGACGAATAGCTTTTCTGATAACACAGATATCAACTCAAGTCTGATTAACTAAGTTGGGAGTATGTTAAATATCAGGTTGCTGGATTGTTTACTTGGCATGCTTTTCTTTCAATATAAAGTTTCAACGTAATGGTTTAGATTGTTTTAAGTGGATTTTGTGGAGGGGTCAATTGCGTAGTAACCGCTGTTCGGTTGAGAAAATAGTGAAACTGTCACACAAAATTGTAGAGGTTTAATAGTAGCGGACTTTCACAGCACTGTATTTTGTTTCAGAGAAATCTTAGTCTAAAATGCAAACAAAAACAGGTCCTTGTTTAGGCATTAGCTTAGCCTCTGATATAATAAGGTACTAACTTTTGATAACTATTTGACAGAACATCGCTTCAAAAATGACCAGGACTATTCCATTATAAGAACGCCAAACTGCGTTCTATTGCACGTGTTTTCTTTGAGTGTTTAAAAGCACACGCATGATCAGTGGTAAGAGGCTAAACGCTGCAACATTTCTGCCATTCTTGATTCTTGACTGGTCTGACTCATCTCCATCGTACAGTTTCATTTATCATGCAGACAGGTTTCTTATTAATCTACAGTGGTTTGCAAAAGTATTCATACCCCTTGAACTTTTCCATATTTTGTCACATTACAACCACAAACATAAATATATTTCACTGGAATTTAATGTGAAAGACCAACACAAAGTGGTATACAATTGTGAAGTGGAAGCAAAATTTTACATGAATCAAAACATTTTTTACAAATAAAAAACTGAAAAGTGCGACGTGCAAAAGTATTCAGCCCCCTTTTCCCTGAGTGCAACCAATTGCATTCAGAAGTTGCCTGATGACTGCTAATGACTCAAAAGGGTCCACCTGTGTGTAATCTAATCTCAGTACAAATACAGCTGCTCCGTGACGGCCTCAGATGTTGGTTAAGAGAATATTGGGGAGCAAACAGCATCATGAAGTCCAAAGAACACACCAGACAGGTTAGGAATATGGTTTTGGAGAAGTTTAAAGCAGGCTTAGGTTATAAAAAGATTTCCCAAGCTTTGAACATCTCACGGAGCACTGTTCAATCCATCATCCGGAAATGGAAAGAGTATGGCACCACAGTAAACCTGCCAAGACAAGGCCGTCCACCTAAACTTACAGGCCGAACAAGGAGATCACTGATCAGAGAGGCAGCCAAGAGGCCCATGGTGACTCTGGATGAAATGCAGAGAGCCACAGCTCAGGTGGGGGAAACTGTCCACAGGACAACAATTAGTCGTGCACTACACAAATGTGGTCTTTATGGAAGAGTGGCAAGGAGAAAGCCATTGTTAAAAGAAAACCATAAGAAGTCCCGTTTGCAGTTTGCCAGAAGCCATGTTGAGGACACAGCAAACATGTGGAAGAAGGTGCTTTGGTCAGACGAGACCAAAATTGAACTTTTTGGCCACAATGCAAAACGCTRTGTGTGGCGGAGAAAGAACACTGCACATCACTCTGAAAACACCATCCCCACTGTCAAATATGGTGGTGGCAGCATCATGCTCTGGGGGTGCTTCTCTTCAGCAGGGACCGGGAAGTTGGTCAAAGTTGATGGGAAGATGGATGGAGCCAAATACAGGGCAATCTTGGAAGAAAACCTGTTGGAGTCAGCAAAAGATTTGAGACTGKGGCGGAGGTTCACCTTCCAGCAGGACAACGACCCTAAACATAAAGCCAAAGCTACAATGGAGTGGTTTAAAAAAAAGAATATTCATGTGTTAGAATGGCCCAGTCAAAGTCCAGACCTAAACCCAATTGAGAATTTGTGGCAAGATCTCAAAACTGCTGTTCACAAACGCTCTCCATCCAATCTGACTGAGCTTGAGCTGTTTTGCAAGGAGGAATGGGCAAGAATTGCAGTCACTAGATGTGCAAAGCTGGTGGAGACATACCCTAAAAGACTTGCAGCTGTAATTGCAGCAAAAGGTGGCTCCACAAAGTATTGACTCAGGGGGGCTGAATAATTTTGCACATTGCACTTTTCAGTTTTTTATTTGTAAAAATTGTTTTGATTCATGTAAAATTTTGCTTCCACTTCACAATTGTATACCACTTTGTGTTGGTCTTTCACATTAAATTCCAGTGAAATATATTTATGTTTGTGGTTGTAATGTGACAAAATATGGAAAAGTTCAAGGGGTATGAATACTTTTGCAAACCACTGTATGTGTCAGGTAGCTTCAGTGTGATTCAGCTTATGTTCACCTGGCTGCTGAGAGCTGCTTTCCCTTGTCTAGTTGGTTCTAATAGTGCATACTATAAATAGTTACTTTAGCCTAACCAGTCTTTTGTGTTCTCCTTCACTTGCAACAACTCCTGACATTTCAATCAACTTACCCCTTCCCTGACAATGAATCATCATGTGGAGGATTTTCTGTGTTTTGAGTCTGGATTGTGTCTGTGTGCCTCACAAATCAAATCTTTGAAGAGTACAACGATCAAAGCTGATAGTGCTCCAATGAAATGGCTGGTTTGCGTCACACCGTGGCCATTTTTCTGCAACATGAAAAACTGGCTTGGAATCATGCAGTGTGAAGTCATTTGCTAAGGCCTCAGATGTTGAGCCAAAAAAAGGGCGAGAAAACAGTGTGGTCCAACCTCTACAGCTTATTATGATTTACAGGAAGAGAAAAATCGTGAATATTTCCTTGTTTTGAATAATTATGATTGAACACATGAACAAGATGTGAGAAAACTACACATTTGGTCACAATTAAAGTAAAATGTTTATTTGTTTTTTACAGCAAAAAAAATTCCACAAAACAAGGAAAGCTTATTTTATTTCTTAGTTTTTAAGGTCCTAAATTGTTAAAAAAAAATGTGCATAGTTTCATGTTTTAGCAAAGATTTGCTGCCCTGAATTGTATGATTACATTGATTATAATGATTTAAGAAATCATTATACTATTAATGAGATAAAACCTGTAATTTGCCTTCTCCACAGATTCTGAAGATATCATACAACCTTCTCTGTTAACTCCTGTTGCTGTTCTTCACCCATCCCCAAAGGTTGATACACATATAGTGAATATATCAGGAGAGGTAACAGGTTAAAAAAATAATAATTGAAAGTGGTTTGGCTGCAGAATTTAAGAATAACTGACTTCATTTTCAGTGCACAGAGCAATATTAGAAATAAAAACAATTCTAACATTGGCATTAATCCAAAATTGTCTTGTCATTGTACAGCAGTGCATGACCAAAACTGACCATCTTCCACTGAACAGTGCACGTAAATGCATAAAAAATTAACAGAATCAAATACAGCAAGTAAATAGTTAAATGGTATTAAAAATGCTTAGACTCAGTTAAGAATATCATTAAGTCTGGGTTGTATTAATAATGCTGAGTTTATTTGTTCGTGCTGTAAATGTTCTTTCTCTGCTTGATGGTTCAACCCACTTTAAATCTAATCAGTAAAGTTCATATCTGTGTATTTAATCAGATTTCGTTTTCAATTGTGCTTTTGATGTCCAACGGGTTGGAAAAGCAAACTTACCACATTATTGTACTGCATTCCATTTGGTGACAAAAAGAATGCCTTTGGTCAACAGGGCTTTGAAGTGTAAAAACAAGAACAACAGATAATTCTTTTTTCCCATAAAATTAAGATATGCATAACGTTTTCCAAGTCCTCAGTATTTTCAGCTAACTGAATCTAAAATATTGACCAAAATATTAGTGATTGTGATCTTAGCCTCCTTACCCACATCTAACACTTCATATAAAATATGTGTTAAAATGAAAGTTAAAACCAGTTGCAGCTGATTCATGCATGGAGTTGGTGCTGTGTGCATTTCACAAGAACAGGATGTGTGATGTCAGCGAGCTTACGACTCTGGTGCAGGAAATCAGTCTGCACTCATCCAGCGTTTTCAGTTATCATTGCTGTTAGACAAACATAGACTTTTATCTTTTTCACAAACTGATTTCTTATCAGATTTCTGCCTCATTATCTTTGTTTTCCTGTCAAACTGAATGAAATGTGGTTGAGAACAAAAAAGGGGATGGTGGCATCCAGCTGGCTTTGACTCTGGATCACATGATCCCCTCCCACCACTTTTGTGTTACCCTCCTATCATCAACTTTAGCATTCTAACATGTTGTGGCATTTGTGACCTTTTTTCCTCTTTCTATTATTTTTACTCTCTTTTCCTACTTAGGGTCTTATTGTCATTTTTATTTATTTATTTATTTTTTGGATTGATTGATTTACTTGTTACTTTCGTTTTTGTCTTTTATGAGTTTCTACATTTCCAGTTCATGGTATGTGTGTTATTTTGAGTTTCTATACACACGCCTTATTCCTTCCCTCCAGGAGTCCAGATTTATCATCAAACTTCTCTCCCGAKGCAGGTTTGTGCAACATTGCTTTTATAACCTGCGCAACCAAGGAGCTGAAAAAGAACAGTGGRGGAGAGAAACCTACAAGAAGAGCCTCAGTTTTATAAGGTCTGTTGTCACAGTTGATGTTTTAACAACCTAACTAACTTCATTTCAAATATATATTTTTTTACTTTATTATTATTTTTACTGGTCAAATGCAGAAAAATTCACACAACCACCCAAGATGTYTCGTGGATCTTTATTATGATTACTGTTTTTGAATAATGCAAATTGAGGATGTGTTTCTGAAGCTTTCTCCAAATTTGGTCATTGCAGGAAGTGTGCTCCAGATCAGTGTGCTGCACAGCTGACTGACAGCTGTCCCACCCAGAGTACCTGAGTAGACGTTGTGCTTTTACAGGAAGTTGAGTGTGACAATGCAGCAGTCGGAACTAAAAGTCATTCCTCTGCAGTGGATTTCCCAATAACACGTCAGATTATTGCTATAAGTCACACAAGTTCGTTTTTTGTTTTTCACAAATGTGGGAAGTTTCTGCTGACCGTGTGGGGACATTCATACATGGATGAACATTGTTAAAATGTGATAACAGTGTATGCTGTCATAAAATCAGTTTTAAAAACACATTTGACCCTCAATTCTGAATTATTTTGTTTGGTTTATTTATAAAATTTTACACGTTAAAATGCTTAAGGAAATTGTTCACATCCTGTGTGGAGTTGTGGAAGCGGAAGTCTCTTGTGACACTTGAGTTCCCCAGTTTACTGACCCACATCTCTGAATCCTGCAGTCACCAGTTTTGTCTTACGCTGTAAGATTTCAACAAGAGATTGTAATTGGATTCCAGTCAYTGGAGAACATGTTATTTTGTTTTCTGGTGCTGTTATTCCTAAAGCAGTAGAGTCAAATATTTAGCAGTGRTTTGTACCTTATCAGCTGTATAAACTGGGCAAAAGTCTTCATCCAGGCTAGGTTAATGACTATCTAAACAAAGACTTTTAAAAATTATTTTCCAGGCTCAAGAAAAGACTTTCTTAAAAAAAAAAAAAACCAACAACATGCTAACTGCTAGCTCCTAATTTCATCAAAACAAACCATTATTTTTGTTAAACTAGTGTCATTCAAATAGGTATTCATGAACCTGTTTATAAGCTTTCCAAATAATCCCACCACAAAAGATCTGAACTKTTTCTTTAAAAGTGGGCTATAGAGTTTTTGTTTTGATTACATTGATTTATGGCATTTGATTTATTGGCACTAAAAACAGCAAGAGATGACTCAGATTGGTCAAAATCTAATTAATTGTGTTGAGAACTAACCCCCCCCCCCCCCCACACAAATATTATAAAGACTAATATGCAACATTACCTTTTTGTTTTAAACAATATSTTGAAATCAGGCCTCAAATAATTCATTTTGATCAACTGAGTTACTTGTTCATGTTTCCTCAAAATTGAAATTTCAAACTTTTGCTAATGTTGATTACWGAAGGCACCGCTTACTCAAACACGGAGAAAATGAGAGAGTACAACACATGATGGTATTGTGCACCGTAATACTTGTCACATGCCTCATGTGATGTGAGACTGAATGGTGTCCAGTGTTGGTGATCAGTGCGCTGACGGGAAGGAAGGGTGTTTCCCTCGAAGACTTCCTGTCCTGCCGTGTGACTCGGTGTCATTCTTTGTGCTGCTCTTTTCCTTTCCTCCTCACTTTTCACTCTTCCTTTTTCTTCAGTCTGTCCTCATGCAGAATTGTTCTCTTACATTTTGCTCTAAGTTTATTAGTCATCGTTGGACCGAGTGTCATCAGCTGGCTACTTGTTCCAAGAATCTGCTTCATGAATTATGCAGTTTCACATTGCATCAGTTAGTGCTCAGAGGAGAAGTTGGGAATAACTCTCAGCTCAATATCTGTGAAACTGACAGAGCTGTAGACATGTTTATGCTGGCTAAGGTCAGGCATTCCAAATCAGACTGGCCCTAAAAGCTTTAGATGTAGACTACCTCCAATTATTATTTTCTGATAGTTTGATTGGTCCAGTGGATCATGGGAGGTTTTGCTAACAGACAGACATACAAAGACACTTGTCAAAAGTATTATTGCCCACCTTTAGTCTTTTAGCAGCCGGCATGGGCAGAACAAGAGGTGTGGCCGGAACCTGATTGGCCACAAAATGATTGCCAAATAGGATAGGTATAGCATGTGGCATTCCAAAGATGAGCAGTTAGAGCATGAAAAGAGTAAATATCTGTGAAGCAGCTGTATTGTCTAGTGTAGACGTTTGAAAAAGTACTATTAACTTTTCTGCACAGCTAAATTAATATAAAACAATAACTGAGTGCAATAGTTTTGGGTTTAAGAAGTGGGTAATAAAAATTGAGGAAAAATTAATTGTCTGTAAAACAGCAATGAGATGAAGCAACCAGAAAACCTCCCATGTGGCAAGTAGGGGTCTCTGCAGAACATGTTGTCCTGTGGGCGGAGACGGCCCRAATCGTCATTGGCCGAGGTCTTAATGTGGGCGGAGACGGCCGAGACGGTTGGTCGGATTGACGGTGGGGTTGTTTCAGGCTGGAGGCAGCAGGGAGCAATGGCGGAGAGTAGCTTGGTCGAGTCAGGCAGGAAGTAACATGGTTTTTTWAATTAATTTTAGTCATAACTTGAGAAAGGAAAATGCTAGTTGCACGAAATTTGAATATCGTACATGTGAAAGGATGTGTGACAATATGGCTTGGTTAGTCTGTAAAAAAATATGATTTTCAGCGATCTTTTTAAAGGGATGTTTTAACTAAGCCATATTATTACACATCCTTTCACATGTATGACRTTCAAATTTCGTGCAGCTAGCATTTTCCTTTCTCAAGTTATGACTAAAATTAATCTTAAAAAAATGTTGCTTCCTGCCCGACTCGATCAAACTCCTCCTCGCACTGTCAATCTGACCAATCACATCTCAGGCCATCCCCGCCCACATCGAAACCACCAATCATGAGTAGGGCCGTCTCTGCCCACATCAAGACCTCCACCAATCACGAGCAGGGATGTCTCCGCCCACAGGACAAAACCTACTGCAGAGACCTCTTACTCCCATGTGGCCGTCATTTGAAATGAATGATTTAGCTGCACATGTTGGTGATCAGAGTTCCCACCACACCAAATTTCAGCTCAATATGTCTAAAACTAACTGCGTTATAGCCATTTGAATTTAAATTCAGAATTTTCTGAAGATTATTTTCAGCTATAACAATGATCAGCTTTGTGTGTCTAAAATCTGTTGAAATACATAACTTTCTCAAATGAACATGYCCTAAGCTTGAAATTGATATCAGGTTTCAGAATGTCATATAGAGTATTCTTGGCTACCACCGGTGGCTGAGTTGTTGCTATTTTAAATTAACTTTGGTGGCCATCTTGAGTTTTGTATTTGAATTCAGATTTTGTTAAACATTGTTTCTCGGCTACTACTACACTAATTTTCTGCTGTATATGTTTAAAAATGGCTAAAATGTCCCCCTTTGTAAAATTAGGATTAACATTGGTTGTTAGCTTACTGTATTTTTCGGACTATAAGCCGCACCCCCAACATAATAAAACAGTACACCCAAATTTGCCATCAAAAAGTGAATTCAACCTCAAAACATAAAAAGCAAACCTTTAGGAATTAAAGTTCGGAGGAATATGGTTCATTTAACTGACCTTATTTTGGTAGTTTTCTTTAACAGTTTCTGGTCCAACAAAACGTCTCATTCATCGTCCTCCAGCGCACTGAAAACATCAAAGTCCTCTTCAGTGTCAGAGTTAAACAAGCTGAGAAAAGCTGCGTCACACAGCGGTATCTGTTCAGTGTTGCTTTCTGTGTCGCTGTCCTCCCGGGGTAATGCTGGCTCTGAAGCTGTGGTGGGAAAGCCCTCCCGCTCCAGCATACGTCACTGCATGGGATTCCTTCCCCGGGGAGTGCAATGTGGAAAAAAAAAAGTCTGCAGCTCTTCACTCGACTTTTATCCACAAACTGGTCCTAGATTAAGCTCCAAAGTTTTTATCAGTCAGATTTCACTGTGAAAAATGTCTTTTTTATCCCCTTTTATGAGTTTTTGGCCATTGACTRTCTTTAAATCGCTGCTTCCTGGTACAACAGTCGGCTCTGGAAGCAATCGCTTTTTTCTTTTTTTTCCTTTCTTTTTTTTTGAAGCGAGTGGTTGAAGCAAATGGAGCATAAGAGCCCCCTGGTGGCTGAAGAAAAAAATCCATGTATAAGCCGCACCGGTCTATAAGTCGCATGGTTCAAAGTTCAGGAAAAAAGTCGCGGCTTATAGTCCAAAAAATACGGTAGTTGGGATTAGCAAGTGGCATATGTTTAAGACCATTATTAGCTACACCACAACATATTTCAGCTCAAGTTTTATTAAAATCCCTGAATAATAGCTATTTCAAGTTAATTATGGTGGCTACCTTGGAATTTCAATAAGCATTTAGATTTTGCTAAAGATTATTTTTGGCCAACCCTTGCAAAAATGTCTAGCTCTGCCCCTGGCAGCAGGCTATTATGAAGCAAATCTATGTTTCTCAACTGTACAAATAATACCCTTAACACCAAAACAGAAATTGAAACACCAGCATAATTATTCAATCACATCTCATCTTTAATCTATTGATTGCCTCCCTTGCTTCATTTTTTAAGTCTTGCACTGGGAATGCCCTCTTGTCTTAGATCATATAAATAATGATCATTAAGTGTGCAAACATGTAGCTGCAATACAATGTAATCCAGCCAGGCAAATGTGTTGATGACAAGCCAATAAACAAGATACAACCGATTAATCCAACAATAAAACAGGAAGTGATGTAAACAAAAAGAAAGATACAGGAGGAGGCAGCACTGCAGGTCCCAGGCCAATGCCACTAGTGCCACTGTATGAGAGGATCACAAGACACTGAGTCATTACAATTCTTAATTTGTTTGCCCTGACTCGTGTCCACACATAAAATTTGTCTATCACTTATCTTGTTTAGCTAGTTTGATTGAACAAATCTCTGGAGCTTTCAGCAAACAGCTTCCTCACAGCAGAGATTACACCATACCCAGACTGGGTCCACCATGATCCCAGATGTCTGAACGCTCATAAAAGGCAGCTAACCATGGCATTCCCTTGTGCTTGTTAAAGTTTTTGTTCAAATGTGTTTGTTTGTATGTACGCAAAGTATTTCTTGAATTGCTGAACAGATTTTATATGAAACTTACAGAAACTAGTCATCAGGTTGACATCTATTACTGACTAGCTTTTGGTGTTAAGTAGATTTAAGATGGTCACAACCACAGTTTCACAGATGTTCGGCTATAATTGAGTGTGTTCAGCTGAGAAAATTCAAATTCAAAAATACTTTATTGATCCCAGAGAGGAATTAGGTTGAGACTAATTTAGACTAATCCAGAGACGGATATTCTGAGGGTTAACTGATCTGGCTATAAAATATTGTCAAGTACTATTAGAGTCAAACAAAAATGACTACAATTTAGACAATTTTACATATAAAATTGGATGCAGCTGAAAGTCATTCACAACATATAGCCTACTTTAAATGTTACTCATTGCACAAGATCTTTGTTTGAAACTTTAGCATTA